ATAAGTCGTGTATTTTTGAAGCGTAAGCTTGGATAAACATAGAATTTTTCCCATATTCGACGATATTCTTTTTTGAAATTTAATAATGATCCATTTTCGAATGTGTAATGAAGATAAATTTGATCTTTATGTTTATAATTTCTTCTGTTTTGAATTAAGTGTCCATTTGTTTGGACTTTGGATTTATTTTCTCTTCGTGTTGGTTTGTAAAGTAATGTAGTATGCAGCTGTTCATATGTTTCACCATCGAGTTCAGTCCACACATTCATCGCATCATGTTGAATAAAGAAATTTTTCATGTGTTTTTGTATAAATTTTGGTGGATAACCATTAACTAATAATATAATTTCTGCACTTAATCGTTCCATATCAAAGTCTTCTACAGTTGAACAAAGACATGCTGCTCGAACTAACTTTGTATAAATTATATTGGCATGAATATGTCGTGGATGATCAGATTCATAAGGCAGAATATGAGGTTCCCAAGCTGATTTATGATAAATACTTAGGGTATACCAAAAGTTCTGATCACAGTTTTTAAAATTTAATAAAGCAATAAATATTGAATATTTTACTAAGGCGATATATAGTATAACGTCTCGTCTTTAATAATATATAGAGCAACTCTCTCTTAGGCTTAGTTCTAACATCCTTTCAGACGAAATCTATAATTTTACAGACAATGCAAATATTATTAATTCTTGTTCAATGGTCAGGTACATTCTGGAACTTTCTATTGGTCACTCTCTCGTCACGTTTTATGACGTCATGTTCTAGAATATTACATTTCGATAGTATATATAAATGAGAGGTCGTTCGCTGTTAGTTCATTTGTACCGTACTCGACTTAAAATCGTAATAGAATTTGATTTCAATCTTAAAAGAAGACATTAAACATGACTGATGAATTCAATCGATATTATATCAAAATTCGAGCTATTTTGGGAATAGATTCAAAAACAATCTTTGACGAACTTACAGAGGCATTGGGACCTGATGCTCCATCATATTCAACAGTCAGAAGATGGGCGAAACGTTTTCGTGAAGGAAGAGACGATGTCACTGATGATCCTCGATCTGGTCGTCCGATTTCGGTACTTACAGATGAAAATGTTGAACGCGTTCGACAAGTTATCGAAGATGATCCACACTCAACTTATGATGATATTATGGGTGAGACTGATCTATCACGTGGTACAATAGAACGAATTATTCATGATCGTCTAAAGATGAGAAAAGTTACATCACGTTGGGTTGCTCATCAACTTACTGACGAACAAAAACAAAAACGACTTAGAATTTGTCGTCAAAATTTAGAGAAATTTAGAAATGGAACATGGCATTTATGTGATGTTATTACTGGTGATGAGACATGGATTTATCACAGGCAGATTGGTCGAAAGTCAAGCAATGCTACTTGGGTTGGCGAAAATGAACTACCAAGAACCATTGTTTGTCGGAATAGATTTGAACCTAGAACACTATTTTGCTTCTTCTTCAAATCCACTGGTTCTCTTCTCATACACAAAGTAGATAAGGGCAAGACAATCGATCATGACTACTATATTGATAATTGTCTTATACCTGTTATCAATGAAATAAGAAAAAAGGAAAAGTCATCACGTACTACATATAAAATGCTTCATGATAATGGTCCTCCTCATACTCATCCAGATGTTATTGATTATTTAATGGAGGAAGGAATCGAAATCATTCCACATCCACTATATTCACCAGATCTCGCACCGTGTGACATTTGGCTAAATGATTATATCAAGAACAAGTTGACGGATCACACAAACGAAGAATCATTAGCTCAAGAGGTTTCCACCATAGTGAAGAATATTCAAATAAACGAGTTTAAAAAGACTTTCGATAAACTGTTAGAAAGAATGAAACTTTGTATCGAAAATAATGGTGATTATTTTGAGCATTTAATAAAATAAAATAACGAATGTCTCTTCGTTTCTGTATTGTGGTTTTATGTTGGCATGATCTTTTCTTGGCTATAAATACTATAGATTTAGTCTGAAAGGATGTTAGAACTAAGTCTAAGAGAGAGTTGCTCTATATATTATTAAAGACGAGACGTTATACTATATATTGCCTTAGTAAAATATTCAATATTTATTGCTTTATTAAATTTTAAAAACTGTGATCAGAACTTTTGGTATACCCTAAGTAGTTGTTTCTAATTGTCCATTATTATTTTCAATACTAGCATCAAGATGTTCTAATGCTTGATTTATTGTAATAGTAATTTTAATGTTTGGATCTGTTTTCATTGTTTCATTAAGTTGTTGTAAAAATTCTTCTTTTGTTAAATTCGTAGTCATAAATACATCATCAATATATCTACAAAATATTAATAAAGTATCAATATAAAAGAATATAGAAATAATAATTTGAAACTTACCGGCCAGAAATTTCATCATGTCTATTTTGATGTTGAATTAATTTTTGTTCCCATTCTAATATATATGTGTTGGCGAGAACCATAGTGAATGGTGAACTCATAGCACCGCCTTTAATTTGTCGATAATATTTATTTTTGTAAGCAAATGTATTCGTATATAAAACAACAAAGGCTAATTTAATGATAGTATCTATTTTGAGGTTTCAAATTTTGCCATTGACAGAATATTTTTGACAGAATCGTCTTAAAGCAGCAATATCACCATCTCGTGGTATTATTGTATATAAATCGGCCACGTTAAATATAACAAATTATGTTGTTGAAGTGAGATAACCTTTTTCTGTATAGTCTTTTAATTTTCGAATCAAATCGATGCTATTAATAAATTTTATATCTTTTGTCACATAATTATAAATTGGAGTGAGCAGTTGATCT